GGTTGGTTTATGTGACAGGTTGACTAGGATGGCCTTTAGGGTGTACTTTAGGATGATTTGGAACTTTTGATTCCTCAGCTCTCACTGCTGAGATTAAAGTGTGTGCCACTATACCCTGTATTTTTTGTTTGTTTGTTTTTATTGAGGGGGGTGTTTGCTGTTTTGGTGTTGTGGATGGAATCTAGGACTTCATGCATGTTAGGTAAGTACTTTACAGAGCTGCATCTCCAAGTTAATAAGTTTTAGCAAACTCCCTTTCTCTCTCTAGCAGCCCCCCCCCCTTTCTTTTTGGTGTACATGGGTGCTTTGCCTGCATGTATGTCTTCACACCGTGCTAGGGTGTTAGATGCCCTGGAATTTGAGTTACAAACAGTATAAGCTGTCGTGTGGTTGGGAAAATTGAACCCGATCTTCTGTAAGAACCGACAATGCCAGTAAGCACTGAACTATCTCTCTAGCCCCAGTATTTCATTCTTTTCAATATGAGTCCTTATTCTGCTTCAAACAGAGGAAAATGAATTCTAGTTCTGTGAACAAATATTTCATTAGGATTATACCCCTTTTTTGAAAATAAAATCACCATTTTAGCTCTGAAAGTTGAAATGATGGTTTGGTTTTGATTTTTAAAAAGACAATGCTCAGCCAGGTGAGCATGGTGGCACATGCCTTTAATTCCCAGCACTTGGGAGGCAGAGGCAGGTGACTGTCAGTGAGTTGAAGTCAGCCTAGTCTACAAAAGTGAGTTCCAGGACAGGCTCCAAAGCTACACAGAGAAGCCTTGGTGATGGGTGGGGGTTCATAGTGTAATCCTGGCTAGCTTTGGACTTGAGATAATCCTCCTGCCACTCCAGTGTCAGAATGGTAAGGCATTAATGTCAAACTCCTAAGACTAATTTTAAAACCATATCCATGTATAAGCTGATTTCCCAAATATGGTAATGTTCAAACAATAACATATGACTTGTGTTCTCTGGCTAGTTGACCATCTTAAAAGATTTTTTACACTCTTTTAATTGTAGCACTCAGGAGACCAAGCTAGGAGGGGGAAATTCTCCTGTCTCTGCTTCTCAACTACCAAGGTCATAAGCATAAGTCTCTACACACTAAAAATCTCTCCCCATTCACCAGAGTAATTTTTCTGAGTGTATTCACCTGTGCATTTTGGATGTTTCAAAAGCTTAGGAGTCTCAGATTTTTGTATAGTTAAATCCATTTATCTTAAGGATTTTTTTTTTTTTTGCTTGTGTTAATTCTAAATTGTGTAATTTGTAGTTGAGTTTGATACCTAACTGGGAAGCCTGGGGATGTAGTTTAGTGGTAGAGTGTTTGGCTAGCAAAAGTGAGTTCTATCTTGAGCAATACAAATAACTATCATAAGGTGGAGTGCAATTAGTTCCTGTAGTTTTTCTGTTCCCTCTGTGTTTAATTGGTGCAGATTTAGGAGAAATTAACTGTTGCCATCAGTTTGGGTTTTTTTTTTTTTCTCTCTCTCTTTGTGTAGTATAGTGCTTTTTACTTACTATAGGAACTTGAGTATTTCCAGACTCAATGGTTGTAGTTCCAGCTAGTATTATAATTTAGCTCATACCTGTAATCCCTACCTTTTAGGAGGCTGGGTCACTTCTGCAATACAATAGAATGTGACCCTGTCTCTAAACAAAACAACCAAAATAAGTAAGTCAGTAAGACTTGGTCATATGTGGAGCATTTGCCTAGCATGTTTGAAGGCCTGTGTTCAATCCCCAGCACCAAAAGAAGTCTGGAACATCATGTAGGGAGCTTTGGGAGCAAGGGACAAGAGTGACAGGATATGTGAGCATAGTTGCTACAGAATGAACAGTGATGTTTTCTTGCTGGACTTCTCACCTTTCAGGAAATTTCACCTGCTTATTATTCAGTGTTCCTTTGTACAGCTGCTGGCGCAACACTGGTCAAGAACTCATGTATTAGTTAAACTGATGTCTCTGGGTTTAAAATATTTTCCAGTAACAATTTTTTTTATTTTTTCCTCTTTTTTTTTTTTTATTAAGTTAGAAACAAGTTTGTTTCACATGTCAGTCCCAGCTCCCTCTCCCTCCCCTCCTCCCAATTCCTCCCCACCAGGCCCTCCAGTCCCCCACCCAATCTCCACTCCCATCCCCAGGGAGGATGAGGCCCTTCATGGTGGATCTCTAGTAGCAATTTTATTGTAGAGAAAATATTAAATATTAATGTTATGGTGATATGGACATAAATATTCACAAAGTCAGAATTCCTAAGAGCTGTGTTATTGGGTAGTCTGCTAGTTTCATGCTTATGGATGGATTAATTGCTGTGTTCTAAGAAAAAACTCTTGGGAGGACTGAATATTAACTCCAATGCCTTTCATAGTTTACCTAGATGAAAATGTTTTTAGACTATTGGTCTAACAGTTTAATGCTTCTGAAAGAAACTCTTACTGGGTTATTGTTTTTTTATTTGGCATTTTTAGCATTTATGAAGGTGGTAGTTGTCTTTTTAAATCTTTTTTCCTTTTTTAAAAAATTTTGTTTTTATTTTATGTGCACTGGTGTTTTGCCTACATGTATGTCATTGTTGAGGGTTTCAGATCCCCTAGAACTAGGGTTACAGAGAGTTGTGAGCTGCGATGTGGGTGTTGGGAATTGAGCCCAGGTCCTCTGGAACATAAGCCAGTGTTCTTAATCACTGAGCCATCTCTCCAGCCCTTTTTCCTTTCTTTATTGTATACATGTGAGCATGAAACATGGTGGGTATAGAGATTAAAGGATGACTTTTTGTCCTTTCTTAAGGGCTCCAATAATGGAACTTGGGCTTTTTTGTAGAGTAAATCATCTCACCTACCTAGATAAGTGATCATTTCTTATGACATAACTTGTTTGAGAATTGGACAGGACTTTCATTAAGGTAACATAATTGACAGCTGCCTCCATGAACTTAGAATTAATTCCTAGTTATTCACATTGTAGGTTTGCTTTGTCTTTTTGGAGTTTTGGGTGGGAGTGTTGAACAGGTGGTATTCTGTAGCCCAAGCTGACTTGAAACTCCCTTTGTAGCACAGGTTAACTCAAGCTTGTGGTGGTGCTCTTAGTGCTAAGATAACAGGTGCTATGCCTGCCTCTGCTTCTTTGTTCTTGGCTTTTTGAGACAGGATTTCATTCTGCATCTCAATAGATCTCCAAAGCTGGCCTTGAATTGACAACAGTTCTCCTGCCCCAGAGTACTGAATGTTGATATTATAGAGTGGATTTGGTGGAACCAAACTAAGTTGTCAACCTTTGCTTACTGCTCTGGGAGAGTGAAATCTGAAAATGAGTTGGACTAAAGTCTCAGAGTATCATGCCTCTTGAGTGTCAAGGAAAATCACTGGAGTAAAGTTCTCTCGAGTTCAAACTGTATTTAGTCACAAAGACAAGCTGCATATGGCAAAAAAAGAGTTTTGCCGTAGAGGCATATGAAGATATAGCAGTAGTCAGTTGTAATTAGTAATCTAAAATAAATTCACTCCTATTCTGCTACACCTGGGAGGGTCATGAAATCACAGTACAAGAAAAATTTCCTGTTTCTGAGGAAACTGCTCAGAAGACTCCTGGCTTCTTTTCTTAGAGTTTTCTCACAAACACTCAGACCTCTCATACAGCTCCATTCTTGGACATATTCTGACAAACCCTTAGGTTTATGTATGAATGTTAGCCCTGATTGGCCTCGAATTCATGATTCTTCTGCTTCCAGTGAATAAATGCTGGGATTACAGGCATATATCACCATGCCCGGACTAAAGTATCCTTCTATAATGGCACTTAATTGGAATAACATCAAAAATGTCTTGCCACACAGCTTGACCCTAGTTCAATCAGTATAACCCACAGAATGGAAGGAGATAACCAATTCCTGAAAGAAGTCTTGTGACCTATACACACAGTGTGGCACAGAGATATTTTAAAGATTTGTTTTCCTTTATGATGTATTTGCCTGCATGTATGTCTGTGCAACTTGAATGCCAGATCTCCTGGAGCTGGAGTTGCAGATGATGTGAGCTACCATGTGGGTGCCGGGAACTGGACCCAGGTGCCGGGCACTGCAAGAGCAGGAAATGCTCTTAACTGCTGAGAGTCAACTCTCCAGTTCCTTTTTTTGTTTGTTTGTTTTGTCTGTATATCGAGTTTCAGTACAGCTAGGGCTATATAGTGAGTGATACTGTGTCATGGTATAAATAAAAAGGACACAGGGAAAGGAAAAGTTAAAAATTCTTAAGATAGCTGGGCAGTGGTGGCACACCTTTAACCCCAGCACTTGGGAGGCAGAGGCGGGTGCATCTCTGTGAGTTCAAGACCAGCCTGGTCTACAAGAGCTAGTTTCAGGACAGCCTCCAAAGCCACAGAAAAACCCTGTCTTGAACTCCCCCCCCAAAAAAAAAATACCAGGTGTGTTAGGTTTCTCCCTGTTTCCTAAATCGTAAAGCAAATTAAAAATATGGTCTTAAACTTTTTTTTTCCTCTGTTGGGGATTGAACTGAATGAAGTTTGGGGTAAACTAGACAAGTATTAGTTGCCATATAATTTTACTAAGGTCTTATGAAGAAATGTTATTTATCTAGCTTTTAAGCAAGTTTACTAGGTATACGGGATTGGGGCTTGGCAGGATGTAAGTTTGTTTTCTGTCTCCCACAGTGAAATAAGAACACCAGCTCCTTAATGTTGTCTTTTGAGATCAGTGTATATCCATCTTTAACACAAGAAATACAGTTTAAAAAATCTAAGTTGGTGGGCTGGGATTTGGTTTTGTTGGTAGAGCCCTTGTCTGCCGTTTGTGAAGCCCTGAGTTCCATGCCCAGCACCATATAAACTGGCTGTGATGTGGCACCAGTGGAGAGGCAGGGGCAGGAGGGCCACAAGTTCAAGGTCATTCTTGACTGTGACGTGAATTCCAGGCCAGCCTGCCCTTCGTGTCTTACAAAAAGTTGAGAAAAAGGATAAACTTACTACAGATATTTTCTTTTTCAGCTGCCTTTCTAACCCAAACTGTGTGCCTTGATGACACAACAGTAAAATTTGAAATATGGGACACAGCTGGCCAAGAACGGTACCATAGCCTAGCACCAATGTACTACAGAGGAGCTCAAGCAGCCATAGTTGTGTATGATATCACAAATGAGGTGGGTATAAAATCCTATTACCCTGAAACCAGTTTGAATAATCACTTTAGTATTTAGAATTGGGTTAAAATTTTTTTGGAAATTCCTTTGTTGTAGCAAATCATTTCTGCCAAAGCTTTTGTGAGTGAGGTAGAAGATGAAGGTGCCTAAATGATACAGGAGTCCTAAGAATTTTATTTCCATGGGGTCATGCTAGACCAGTGATCCTCAACCTGTGGGTGGAGACCCCTTTGCGCATGTGAATGAACCTTCAGACTATCATGCATATCAGATATTGTTATTCCGATTCATAACAGTAGCAAAGCTACAGTTTTGAAGTAGCAACAAAAATGATTTTGTTTGGGGATTGCCACAATGAGTAACTAGCTACTAAAAATTCACATCATTAGGAAGGTTGAGAACCACTGCTCTAGAGTCTTCCAGCCTTGTCTCATAGAAGATGCTTCTTAACTCTTTTGAACCTGTGCCAAATAACTGTTTCTCTGTTTAACAGGAGTCCTTTGCAAGAGCAAAAAACTGGGTTAAAGAACTTCAGAGGCAAGCAAGTCCTAATATTGTGATAGCTTTGTCAGGAAACAAAGCTGACCTAGCAAATAAAAGAGCTGTTGACTTCCAGGTATGTGGAATTTTACTTTAACTTAAAAGCATGTTTGTAAGTAATTTTAAGCCATGAAAATAGTTGAAAACATATGTACATATACATTACTAATACATAAAATACATAATTACTAATACATAAAATATTTTCCTGATAGTGTCAGGGATACAGCTCAGGTGATGATGGATGGGTGGGTGGATGGATGGCAGGCAGGCAGTTGCCTACTGTGTGTGCATGTGTCTTGGTTTCTTTCTTTAGCTACTGCATAAACCAGAGATTGCAGCACAAACAATACCAGGGGAAACAGAAGCAAGAGAATAGGGGGTGGGGTTAATGATAGATAGCTCGAGCTACATGAATCCCTGTCTCTTTCCCAAAAAAATAATTCCATGAAAGATGGCAACATCCCCCACACTCACACACATCTGAGAAAAGCTGGCATTCTTCCTGCTTTCTATGTATACACATACTACATATGTTATTATACGAGTACACACACATATTTAGATAGCTGTTCTTGAAAGGAAGAAATTAAAAAGTAAAAGCTCAATTGCTCTTCATTTGAGGCCCACAGTATGGCTGGCTTAGCACATAAAGGTGCTGAGTTTTCTACGCCTAGAAATGCAGGTTGTCCACTAACCTCCATATGCGTACTAGTGCAAACATACCCCAGACATACACATACATATGTGCACACACACAAATAAATAATTGTATTATGTATGTGGGAATATGTATGTAAAAATAGTAATTTTTGAGCTAGGCATGGCATTATACCCCTATAATCCCACCAGGCCACATGGGAGGCAGCGGTAGGAAGATTGTCACAAGTTTGAGACCAGCCTGGTCTTTTGCGTAGTTACATGGTAACCAGGGCTGCACAGTAAACCCATCTCAGAAGAGGAAAAAGAAAAGGGGTGGGGAGAGCTTCAGGTATGTAAGAGGCTTAGTAGGCAAAGGTGCTGTCATGACAACCTAGATTGCTAGAACTAAATACTGATTGGCTGCAAGTTGTTATCTTATCTGACTTCTAGTATGGCTCCTTTATCTCCACATAAATTAATGTAAAAAAAAAAAACTTAAGACCTCCAGTTTGTGTATATTAATTCAAAATATCCTCTGCTATAAAATAGCATATGAGTGAATGCCAATCATTTAAAAACAACAGATCTTTCTAGATTTATAAAAAACTGTTTCTATTTCTCTTGCTGTGGCCTAACATGCAGATCAGTGATGGAATTCTTTCTTTTGACATTATAGGAAGAGAGAGAAAGGAAGCTGCTACTGTTTCGTGTTAAGCAGAATACTTTTTTTTATTTTTTTGAGACAGGGTTTCTCAGCTGTCCTGGAACCAGATCTGTAGATCAGGCTGGCCTTGAACTCACAGAGGTGTCTGCCTGCCTCTGCCTCCTCAGTGCTGGGATTAAAGGCGTGCACCACCACCACCACCACCACCACCCAGCAAATTCATTTAATTCTTAAGACAGCCGTGTGATGTCTTTTATCTGCTATGTTGTCCAGAGAGTTAAGTTCCCCAGCAAAACATATTAGAGAGGTTCGGTTATGTCCAAAAGTGGCCCTGTGCTATAACAGCTCAAAGGGGTGTCAGCTGTTCCTACTCAGAAGAGCTGTGAGGAGGCCCAAAGGCAATAGTATAAATAAGCTGGAAAGTGTCATAGAAGTGTGGGGCAGTTTGTAGTTTTGAGAGGAATTGTTCATAGTATAGTTGGAATTGTAATGCTGTGTGCCATTGAAAATTAAACACGAGGGTGCATTTCCGTAGTTGTTGCCAGTGTTAAGACATTGGATTTCCATATTTATTGCAAATTCTATCTTTAAAAGGCATAATAAAAATTGCCATTGAAATTAGAGTATTTATAGTAAAATAATATGCTATCCCCAAATTCTTACTGTGATTAGGTTTAATACTTGACGTGATGACCAAGAGTGGAATAAGCAAAAAGTTAAGGTAAAAAAAAGAATTGTCCCACTCATTGTTTTTTCTTTTGCCACAGCATATTCTCTGACTGTAATCAGTCAGTTAAGTAATAGGTAATCAAATAAGGAAATATATAAAACAGGTTCAGCATATGTTCAAGGAATAAATCTTTTTGGTTTTCCGGGGCAGGGTTTCTCTGTAGCTTTGCAGCCTGTCCTGGAACTTGATTTGTATATCATGCTGGCCTTGATGTTACAGAGATCTGCCTGTCTCTGCCTCAAAAGTTCTGGGATTAAGGACGTGTACCACCAACACCCCGCTAATTTTTTTATATATATAAACAGGAAGCACAGTCCTATGCAGATGACAACAGTTTATTATTCATGGAGACATCAGCTAAGACGTCAATGAATGTAAATGAAATATTCATGGCAATAGGTAAGATGTTGATTATTTGGCCCATGACCTCTAAAACATTATTTGGTTTTCTTAACTTATTGTACTATTTTTTTTAGATCCTGTCCACTAAACAATATTTTGTTGGAAATACTGTAAAGACTGGTTGGGAAGCAGGACATGGTGTTCAGCCTGCTGGGCATAAGACCCTGCCTCAGAGTGAAGTTTAAAAAAAAAAAAAAAGATTGACTGTCAGGAGGTCCCTCCTCCTCTCTTCTTTGTTTTACCCCTTCCAATTTTATGAATTAAGCCCAGGGCCTCCAACATGCTAAGCAGTGTAGCTACCGCTGAGCTACATTCCCAACCTCAGTAATGTCAGTTCATTCATGAATTCAGTGAATATTGGGTTATATGCTATAGATGAATTAAAAGTTGATCTCATAGATTAGAGGTAAATTTTCCAAAGGTTTCACCGAAATGTCTGAGCAAATACAAGTTTTCCTGTGTACAGTAGTCTTTTATCTGTAGGGAATATATTGCAAGGCACTGAATGCCTGAAACTATGGATGGTGTTAAGCCTTTTGGAATAGCAAAACTAGGATTTCCTTTTCCTTCCCATTTTCACAAAGATTCTTTTCTGCCTGGGAAAGGGATCAGACCCCAGACCTTGAATATCGTAGGCAAGTGCTGAACTATTGAACTGCATCCCCAGTGTCGAAGATTGGTTTTCCCAAGTTTGAGTTTCACTGATGCTGAGTTCAAGTTTAGGTTTGGTATGTATCTAAGCTGGACTAGAACTTGGGGGTCTTTGTGCCTCAGACTCCAGAGTGATGGGTTTATAAGTGTAACAACAGATCTGACTTGGAAGTTTCCTTCTTACTGTATTTATTTATTTACTGATGTGATTATTTGTTGTTGCTTTGGGATAGAGTCTCAAGTACCTGAGGATGACCTTGTACTTGTGCTTTAGGGCCATTCTGAGTAAAATAAGGGTCACCTGAACCTGAACACTGACACCACGGTAGTCTGATAACCAAGGTGGCTACAGTAGGTAGGTGCATACTGTTGAATGTTAGACAAAGATGATCCATGTTCAAGGCAGGAAGGTGGTGACAATGTGAGATTTCAACATGTGCCTTAGAATAGCTTTTATTTCACACGTACCTGCACACAGGTGCTCTTGATTGTGGTGGTATAAATGGAAGCCAGAGGGTGACATTGAGATGTTCTCCTCCATTATTTCTCCATCTTCCATTTTTAAACATTTAGTGTGGGGGTGTGTTTGTGTGCGCGCGTGCGCGCCATAGCACAAATGTGGAGGGCAGGACAATTCCTGGGGGTCTACTCTTTATACCATGTAGGTTCCAGATATGGAACTGATGTCATAAAGCTTGGCAGCGAGCAGCTTTACCTCCTGAATCATCGTGCTACCCCATTGTTTTGAGCCTCAGTTTTTTGGTGAACTCTGGCCTCATTGAAAACCCCAAGATCTTTCTATCCCTACGTGATCCACGCCTAGTGCTGGAGTTACATGTTCATGTTTTCACATGGGTGCCAAGGATCCAAACTCAGAATTTACTGGTTACACAACAAGCACTCACTAACTGAACCTGTTTTATTTTTGTCAGACATAGTCTCACTGTATACCCAATGCTGGCCTGGAACTCCAGATCCTCCTGCCTCAGTCTCCCGAGTGCTGGGATTACAGGGTGGAGCCACCATTCCGAGCTAGGGAATACTTTAGACTTATTTTTAATTGTAGGCTGGGCAAGCAGCTCTGTGGTCAGTGCTTGTGTTGCATTTCTGAAGCCTGATTCTGTTCCTCCCTTCCAGATCTCATTTCAAATTAAACCCTTTCCCTTCTTTAAAGAAATCCCCAGTGTAAAGGGAACTGTGGTCTTTTCTTGATAAAGTTAGCATCTCAATCACATAGTACAATCCAGTGAACAGAAACAGTCTTTGTTGCTGTTTACTTCCTTCCTCCTCCTGATCTCAGTCAGATGTGATTATAGAATGTCCTTAGAGGAGTAGGCTATAGGGAGAAATTATGCACATTCCAAAACCCAATTCAGTATTTATTATAATACAGGTTATAGTGCTAGCTTATCCTAGTAGTATTGTTAATTCACTTACTGGGCATTGCTCATTAACGTGTGTAACATGAAAGCCTCAGGTTCCTAGCACAAATCAAACAAACAACAACAACAACAAAAAAAAGTCCAGGATTCCAGGTAGGAATTGGACAATACAGTACTATTCAGGAATATTGCTGCTTTGTCCACAGGACTAAGCCATAGATCTAGCAGGTGAATTTTTAGTGGGGAGCACTATCAAGCCACTATTAGTTGTATAGAACTCACAAAGCTATTTGTGTATACTAAGTATCATTATTTGTAAATCATTTTGAGGTTCTCATAGCCCAAGAGGGGGAAACTTAGATGTTAGAAGGGTGTGGAAGCCAGGAAACAAATAGATGCTGTGCCATATAATTGGGTTTGCTGATTAGGTTCCACGGTAATGGACAAGTTTGGTTGGGTTGGTGTGGTGGTTATGTTGATAGAATGTGTTTATATCCTGACTTGTTCTCAGAATTATTTGGGACAACCCAGAGAATGTTGCTATAATGTGAGCTTCTTTATGTACTTGATCCATGATCCATTGACTGGATTTTGTGTCTGTTTTACTTGGTTTTGTTTTTCAAAATTGAGTTGTGATATACTTCTCAGGCTAATATTAACTTCCTGGGCTCAAGTGATTGTCCCAACTCGTTTTCCAGAGTGAATTATGGGAATTGCAGTCATGTCCCACCATGCCCAGCAGATTGTGTATAATAAAAATTGAATTACTATAAAATAGTCTGAGTGTTAAGCGGTAGTGGAGTTGCCTAGTTTGCTCCTGAACCAACACAACACAAACTATTAAGTAAAATATGTTATTTCTGTGGGATTTGATAAAAAAAAATTGTGTATAGTTCTAGTTAAATTTAAGTTTAAACGGTATACCTACAATTGGCCTCTACCTACTCCTTCACAAACACTAAGAAATTAAACTCCTTTTAGTACAGCAACCAGTGATGTGTTCTTTGGGGGTTATTTGGTGTTTGGCTTTACCTTCTGGCATTTAGTAGGTAATAAACATTTGAAAAGAGCAAACATAAGTCAGCACATAAAACTTTGGAATAACCCAACTGGGAAAGAGTATTATAAATAAGTAGGTCTAAATGATTTTAATATTAATAATTACAATTTTATTTTTGTCATTTCTTTCTTAGCTAAAAAGCTGCCAAAGAATGAACCACAGAATCCAGGTGCAAACTCCGCCAGAGGACGAGGAGTAGACCTTACTGAGCCTGCACAGCCAGCCAGAAGCCAGTGTTGTAGTAACTGAACTCCAGTGTGAGCTTCCTGAATGGCAAAAACCGTGGTGTGGGAGCATCTAGCCGGCCCAATGTGACTTCCAAAAAGACTTATGGTAGAATCAAGTTTCTAATACTGAATTATTTTGAGTGTTTTGAACTTAATTTTTAATAACATGCATGTGTTCTTCGGACTAATGTTTCAACAGTAGAAAGGGAAAAGAGAACTGTGTACAATTTGTTGGTGGAAAGTGCAAGGGACCCACTCGTCTCCAGTGGGGGTGGAGCCACACTTAACCACCAGTCTCTAACCTGGCATAAGAGTCAGGTGTGAAAGATTCAAAATTACTAGTGAGCTTTAGGAAAACATTTTTAGAAGACTAAAAATATTTATGCTTAGCAACAGAAGACAAGCAAATGGTAATTTCTTCTATTGGCTAAAAAGTGTACATTCCACATATTAATAAAATAATCCTAAGAAAACAGTCCTACATCTCCAGAAAGAATGAATATTAGTGACATCTTATTCAGTCCTGTTATTTCTTAAAATCTGACTGAAAAGAAGAAGTCATGTGTAACCCAATCTTGTTTTAGGAATAGAAAAACTGATAAATGCATTTTAATGGATAGTGGTCGAACCTTCGTGTGAGCTCTTCAACAAAGTGGAAACAAACCAGGTGTCTGATTTCTCTTTAATCACTGTTGGCCATTACATAGAGGTCTGTCTGGAGCAGGGAGGGAGCTCTGGTTCCCTTGGGACATGATTAGTCAGTGCACTAACAATTATGTACATTCAAACTTGATTTTAAATATGATCTTCAGCTGTACTGTAAATAGAGTACTGCATTGTCGTCTCCATGTTTATTATTTTCTGTAATATTTAAGAATTGCCTAAGCATATACAAAATGTACAGTTACTAAAACAGCTAATTATTTCTGTCTTCCCCCTATGAAAGGAAGGGGCTTTGCTGTTCTTACATGGTTAGAACCTTAACACTGTACCTGCAATTTGTAACATAAGTATTACAATGTTATTAGTAATAATCTTGAAACCTTGGTTTTCAAAGTCCATTTTATTTTGATCAGTATATTGCACTAATTATTTTAGGTATTTTCATTGTATGAAATCTACCATGTGTCAGATGATTTAATCTATTTAAGTGTCGATCTGCTAGCAGAACTTGTACATTTTACAATAACTCAAAATTAGTAAGGAAAACAGTTCACCAGTGTTTAGTTTTATATTGAGGTGCTCAGGTTGGAATAAAGTGGTATAAAAAGCAACACTGAGTTTTCTTTCTCTTTAACATAAAGTAGTGAGCATAGCACACATTGCATATAACTGGAAGCTTTTGTGTTTTCTTCCTGTCAAGAATGATTCTCTCCGAGTCATGATCTGTCCTAGAGTCTGGTGCACTGAAGTCTTTGTGGTACTGTTTGCTGCTCTGGGTCTTTGGAATGTTTTTATGTCAGCAGCTGATACTCACTCCCACTGAGAAACATTACCATAACAGTGATGCTGTCTCTGGAACCACCTTCTAAAGCAGCACTTACAAGTTCATAGCCAATGTACTCAGCTGCACCTTCATAGAAATTCTTAGCATGTAGTTCTTTCTCGCTTCCCTTCTTACTGTCTATAGTGGGTAGGCTGTTAGTTTCTTTCTTGATGCAAGTGTCATAATTAGTCATTTCTGGAAGAAATGTTTCTGTATTTTCAGCCTGATACATGCAAGCTTGAGAATATATTGAATCAGATGACCTTTTCATTAGATTAGTAGATGACATAACTTCTTCAGATTCAGGGTTGTACTGGAATAGCACACGGATATTACTGTCTGATGGGGAAAAAGGCTCTTCAGATGGCAAGGATTTGTTTTCAGGACTAGAACATGTTTCTTTATATGCATGAAACAAGGTAATCACCAGTGCAGTGACTTCCTTCTTGTCCAGAACTTCCCAGAGCCCATTAGTGGCTAAGATGAGAAACTGACATAGATCATCTATAGGGACAGAAATCGTTTGGGGTGCTGAAATAATGGACTTCTTCAGTGTGGGGTTTCCATGGAATCCAAGACCCCTGGTGGTTTTGATGTGTCCTTCCAGGAGGCCGTTTGAGCTGATGACTGCTCCTCTTTGAAGGATTCTTCTTCTCTCCTTGGTGTTTCGTGTGCTGTGTTCTTTGGTCAGGCAAAACCCTTTTCCATTTCTGCATAAGACTGCTTGCACGTTACCTAAAAGGGTGTTATTGTTTTTTTTTAAAGAGAGATATCTAATTACCAGTTTGTGTTAAATTGTATTAATAATTCTGTTTCAATACTAAAAACAAAATATGCCATGTAAATTTTTTAGATCTATAAGCTGAACACTGTATAAATACAATTTTGAACTGGGAGACCACCTAACTGAAATATCATTGATAGCCAGTAGCATTTAAAATACTTAACTGAAACTACAGGTCACAAAAAATAACTTCTAAATCAGGTTTTTATGAAACTATCAAAATATGATTCTTACTATTAACATCTATGTGGCAGATGTTTAAAATATTCAAATAAAGCTTTTTTGTGGCTAATGTATGTGTATGTGTGGGTATGTGCACATGAGGAGGGTAGAGGCCAGAAGAGTATTGGATCCCCTAGAGCTGAAGTTGTAGTTTGTGTGAGCCACCAAACATGGGTGCTGGGAACTGAACTCTAATCATTCGGGGAAGCAGCAGGTATGCTTAAACACTGAAACATCTCTCCAAACAAAACTTGGGGTTCGAGAGAGAACCCGTCAGTAAAGAGCGCTAGCGTTCATGTAGGTTGGTACACAGCTGCTTGTAATTCCAGGTCTAAGGAGATCTGATACCCTTGGCCTCTGCACCTGTGTTTGCGTGCACAGACCCACACACTTACACATAAAATCGTAAACCCTGAAAGGAACAAAAGCTTTTGGGGGTTGGTAAGAGGGTTAGTAGGTAAAGGCACCTGCTGCCAAGCCTGATAAAGCTGAGTTCCATCCTTGGATCCCACATGGTGAAAACAACTGACTTCTACAAGTTGTCCTCTGACTTCCATATATACGGACACACAAAATAAAGTAAAAAAAACTGTAAATGGTGAAAGCTAAAACCCAAATGTATTTAGGATGATAAAATTGGTTTCTGTAATGTGCAATTAAACCGTAAGTTCTATGAAACTTCCTATTAGGGAAATAGACAGCCACACTAAATCCTGTAGTAGAAGGGAGAGAACCTACTTCTAAAAGTTGTCCTTGACCTCAACATGTATGCTGTGGCATATATGCATGCGTACCACATATTTTAAAAATGAAGAGCATTTGCTGAGTGATGGTTGCAAGCCTTTAATCCCAGCACTTGGAAGGCAGAGGCAAGTGGATGGCCTCAAACTCACAGATTCACCTGCCTCTGCCTTCCAAATGCTGGGACTAAAGGTGTTGGATACCTTCAGCTTTTGTTTTGAAACAAGCTTTATGTAGCTCCAGCTGGCCTTGAACTCTCGTTGTAGCTGAGAACATCTTTAAATTCCTGGTCACCCTGCTTTCTTGTGACATCAGGTCCTGTTCTTAGTCTCACTCTGCAAACTGAGGCATGTCCCTGGCTTTAAGTCAGTAGCTGGATCCTGTCAGGTTCTAAGTAATTATCACCAGCAAAGCAACACAGAGTGGCATTTAACATTTAACTGGGTGAACAATTCGGATGTAGTTCAGCATCTCTCTTAAAATGGGGGGAAGCATGTGTGTGTATGTAAATAATGCTGCTATAGCTTTAAAACATAGTTCAACCTCCTAATGTTGATTACCATTTGGAATCTAAGCCTACTAGGTAAAACAAAGTATTGTAGAAAAGCTTGAATTCACATATCAACTTAAGGGGAAGGTGGCTTAGTTCTGTTGAGTGAGGGCTTGTGTCTCTGTCCTAACATTTACATAATCTAGAGAAAGACAATGAAATGGGAGATACATGAAAGTGCTCAACTATTTAAAAGGAGTTGTAACTCAGGAAGATAAGGCAGGTGGATCGTGAGTGTGAGACCAGCCTGGGCTTAATATGAGACCATTGTGTCCAAAGAATTAAAAAGAGGCTGACCCATCTCACCAGACGGTCCTGGGTAATATCATTTTGATGAGCTAATGAAGAAAGTATGAAGTTCTTAAGTCAGAGTAATAGTAGACAGGATGGTGAAGCCGTGGTTAAGAGCTCTTGCTGTGCTTCTGGAGGACCCCAGTTCAGTTTCTAGAACCCTATCTGGTGGCTCACAACTGCCTGGAACTCCATCTCCATGGGATCCAATGCCCTCTCTTAAAATTCCCTGGCTCCCTGGACATGGTATATTAAATTCACAAAAATGCATAAAAATAAGTTATTTTTATTAAAAAGAAAAAACCACCTCTGATGGCTGATTAAATCTCAGAAAATGAAAAACATAAGAGAGGGGGAGTGATGTGAGAACAATAGGAACCCTGAGTGGTGTGTGACTTTAATTCAAGCACTAGAGAAGCAGAGGCAAGTGGAACTCTATGAATTTTAATTCCAGGCCAGCCATGACTACATCCCCCAGAAAGGGGATGGGGGCGTTTAAGATTATAATCTCACACTTGGGAGGCAGAAGGGTTGCCACAAGTTCAAGTCCAGGCTGGTCCACAAAGCGATGAGACCCTGTCTCACAAAAACAACAAGGGTTGGAGAGATGGCTTGGTGGTTTAAAGCACCTGCTCTTGCAGAGGATCTAGGTTCAATTTCCCCATGGTGGCTCACAACCATCCATAACTCCAGTTCCAGGAGAACTCCCTCTTCTGAGGGCATCAGGCCCACACAGGGTGTACATATGTACATGCTGCTCTAACATTCATATACATAATTGAACCTTTTGAGGTTCTTAATTTTTTATGATTTAAATAAGGGAGCATTGTTTGGTTTTGTTCTTTTGGATTTTTAGGAGGGCCTGCCACCCAACTCTCAAAATAAATCACACACAGAGCCTTACTATTACTTATGAATGCCTGGCCTTAGCTTAGCTTGGCTTGTTTCTACCCAGATTTTTTTATCTTAACCCTCGAGGCTCCTATTCTCATTTCTGCGTTATCTTTCCTTCTTACTCTGAGGCTGGCTGGGTAGCTGAATAGCTGGCCCCTGACGTCCTCCTTGTTCTCTTGCTCGCTGGCTTCTTCTGTTTATTCTCCATCCTTGCTCCTGCCTCACTATTGGCCCTGCGGCCCTTTATTAAAACCAACGGGTGTTTTAGACAGAGAATCACAGCTTCACACAGAGTTAAACAAATATAGCATAAACAAAAGTTGGACACCTTAAAATAATATTCCCAACAAGAGAGGGAGGAAAAGAGGCCAGTGAGATGACTCAGTGGGTAAAGGTGCTTTTGCTGCCAAGCCTGATGACCTGAGTTCAATTCCCAGAAGCTACACTGTAGAATGCAAGAACTAACTCCTGAAGGTTCATGGCCTGTCAGCACACACAGACGCTGAACTCTGACCATCTGCAATTAAAATATTTAACTGAAAGAAAACAAAAGAGTGAAACAACGTAGATGGAGAAAGAAAATTGTGGATGGGTTCCAGTGAACTATCTAAAAAGATAAATCACACTCAAATGGCTTAAAACCAGAGAAAGAAATTCTCTAGAGCAGCCACAAGGGGGAACCACATCCTGAACAGAAGAGCAAGAGTGACAAGAGACAGCAATACCAGCCAGGCCAAACAGCAGAGCAGGCTCCACAATGGAGAAAAACTTGTCAGTCTGGAATCGCAAACCAAGTAAGTATTTCCTTTTTTGCCTAGCACTTAGGAGGCTGAGTCAAGTGGCTTGAGGCCCCCCTGGAGTACATAGTGAGCTACAGGACTGTCAGGGATAACACAATAGACCCTGTCTGAAAAAGCAACAAAAATTCATCTCTAGGAAGACAGACATTACAGAGACCAAGGAAATTTTTCAGGCAAGGAAAACCAGATGAAATTCCTTAAAGATGCAACATTTTTTCTTACTGAAACATATAAAAGATAATTGTTAGGGTAGATTGAATGTAATTGGCCCCCATAAGTTCAGGGAGTGGCATTATTAGGAGGTATGGCCTTGTTGGAGGAAGTGTGTCACTGTTGAGGCCTCTGAGCACCACATCTGCCTGCTCCCCATCGTGATAATGGACAGAACCTGAGTTTTTTCTTTATAGGAGTTGCCGTGGTTGTGGTGCCTCTTCACAGCAATAGGAACCCTAATTAAAAATGTAATACTATGTAGGATATATGAATATACATCATATAAACATTTATAAACAAATGTATTGTGTAATTAAAATAATAAATAAGCCAGGTGTAGCCATACACACCTGTAACCCCAGCACTGTGGAGTCAGGAAGGGAGATTCCAGGTTAGTCTAAGCTACCTAGAAAGAGTTAAAAAGACACAAAGCACTGGACTGAGGATCCGATCAGGGGTTAAGAGCACATGCTGCTTTTGCAGAGGACAACAGACAAAACAACAATGTTGGATAAACATGGACAAATAGAACTTTTAGCCATTGCTGAATGGATAGAATCATGGTGTCACCATTCTGGAAAGCTTTGATAATTCCACCCCCAGTATAAGTATGTGTGAGTATTTTAATCCCATAAGGATTTAATGACATAAACAGAAGATCAAGAAAAATTGTAAGATAGAGCATAAATGATAAGGACAAAAACTCAGCCAGGGGAGTAGGTAGCAGGACTACAAAGTCAACACAGTAAGTCAAGTTTAAGACCACCCTTGAAACTTAGTGAACTTCCTGTGTTGAAACAACAAAATGGGCTGGAGATGTAGCTTGGTGATAGAGGGTTTGCCTAGCATCTTAGACAGTAGAAAACCTGGAAAACTGAAGGAAAAAATGGTTATTCCACTGATTAGAATTTGATACAACGTGGCTACTGAGCATAAAAACAGTATTACACATGTATTAGTCTCTGACTGGGAATGTAGGTCATTAGGGTGCTTGGCCAGCATTCACAAAGCCGTTAGGTTGTACTCTCTCAACACCAAGAGTTACAGCACATGTCTGTAACTCCAACTCTCAAGAGGTGGGGGCGGGAGGACCACAAGTTCAAGGAGATTCTCCTGGGCTACATGATGAGTCTGAGGCTAGCCTGGGATACAAGACTCCTGGACCCAAAAGTAAACAAAAGTTGTCCTAGCAGTCATAGTGGACCAGTCTGAACAATTATGCTGAGAAAAATCAACTTTCTAGTCTCTCAAAAGGAGGCAGTGAGTGGGCTCCTTCTGTTTTTTGTTTGGATCTAGCTGGCATAGGTACTGTACTTACTTTTCACATGTATCAACATCTCTATTACCTCATTTTCAATTTTAATGTATATATATGTGTATGTACACATTAAAGTTTTACATGTATATATACATAAATATATGTATATATGTGCAGTGTACTGTGTGTGTGTGTGTGTGTGTGTGTGTGTGTGTGTGTGTGTGAAGTCAAGGAAAATTTTTAGGACTCAATTTTGTTCTTCCAACATGTAGTTTCAGGGACTGAACTCAGGTCGTCATCAGGCTTCTCAGCAAGGACCTAACCCTTTGAGTTATCTCACTAGCCCCATTTGGAAAATTTAATGCTTTGTCACATTCAACATTCTGTGTGACAGTTTCCTTCAAGATTGAAACATTCTATCCTGCAGGGGAGCTCCTTAAGCAGAAAGGCAACAACTCAAAATAGCTTCAGGAAGTCCCTGTAACTGACCAGATTCACAAGGGCTCTCCCTCCCAGAGTAAGCTATAAAGCTGCTGAGAGTCACCCTGGCAAGCCAAGCTGCCCTGAAGACTCTCAGATATCTGAGACAAGAAAAGAAAGGAAGGAAGGAAGGAAGGAAGGAAGGAAGGAAGGAAGGAAGGAAGGAAGGAAGGAAGGAAGGAAGGAAGGAAGGAAAGAAGAAAGAAAGAAAGTCCGTCCTGCGGCCAGACCAGCTACTTAGAAGAAACAAAAACTATGTGTCTGGAAAAGGGTTAGACCAGAGTCACTTAGAAAGGACACTCTCCAAGCTGTTGAGCTGCCTGCAGGCTGTGCAGTGTGCTCCAGGTTCCCAGCGTTGTAAGCTGTCACCATGCTGGGGTGGGCTTTGGTGGTGCAGCTGTCTGTAAGTCATTTCTGCTCCTGTAAGTAACTCTCATCCCTCATCCATATTCCTGTAAGTTACCCCAATAAAACTCATTGGTTCACCAAGTTGGACTTTGGTAGTATCTGTACTTTGATCTAGCATGGGATCCTTATCTGGAGTGAGTAGACATTCATGTTGTATCTCACCAAGAAGTTTTGTCACACAGCTATTATCAGCATCTAGGAAAATAGTTACAATTATTTTTGTGCCTACAATCTATAGGCAAAGTGTAGTTTTTTGTTTCTTAATTGTTCAGTGCTATGTCTAGACATTGGCAAACCACTAAATGAGTAATTCTGGAAGCAGTAGAGGTTTTCTGCAGGCATTTACAATATTTAGGTGTAATGCATACACACCAGCATTTGCAATGTGTAGTACCCCAGAGATGACCTGGGAGGGAAAACTGTCAACGCCCTGCTGATCCATTTTTGCCCAGTCCTTACTAACGTATGGGTTCTTAATCACTCCCTCTAATATACAAGTGAGCGCAGAGCAGCCACTCCACCGAACCCGGGAAACCTCGTTCCTTCCAAGACGTAGGAGCCTATCCATCCTCCAAAACGCCTTTGCAAAGGCTTTGTGTATTTCCTCATACTCCCTTTTATTGGTTCTGAAGGTTTTGTGTGTGGAAAAGAAAGCCTCTTCTCTGGCCCTGTATTCTTCCCTAAACACGGTGTGAAAGGAATCAATCAGTTGCTGCTGCTCAGCTGTCATCTGGTAGGAAGGATCCTGTTTAGACAGTTGATGGAGAAGTAAAACCTGGAACTCCTTTGATGCCAGGTCTGCTGCAGCATGGCCATGATGGCCATCAAACAAACCAAAAAAGCACACATTGGCTTTATCACCAAAATCATTTGTGACCGTGAATTTGCCATATGGATCGGCTTTCCAGGTTGAATTACTGTTGCCACAGATGGCTACGCCTTTAATGAGCAGGTGGCAGACTTTTGGAGAATGTGTAGAAGTCTGGCCAACCTTGTCATAGAGTTTGAAGTGTGATGGCCTTTGTTTCTTCCAAAGCAGCTCAAACGCATAGTTCATACCCTGAAGGACTTTTTCACTGAACATAAAGGATGTCAACAGTTTAGAAATCATAAACTGTCTCTGACTACTAACCACTGAGGGCTTCGGTTTCCTCCCCCCCATCCACTGGAAACCCAGTGTACTCAGAGCATTGTGGTATTTCTTATGGAGAAAAGTCCCAGCTGGGCTGATTTCTTGGTAGCAGACAGAACAAGGGAATGTGACCGTTGGCTCATGAGTCAGCTGTTCAATAGACTCCTCATGGTCACTCGGGGTCCTCGATCTCTTCTTAACACGCTTCTTTCTTCGTTTTGTCAGAGACTCATCCAAATCAACTGTTTCAGTTTTGGTATCCCACTCTTTTGATCTCCGAAATGTTCTGGAAGAAAGGGGAAGTGTGTTTACTGATCAGGAACTAGAGAGGTGGTTCAGTGGCTAAGAGCACCTGCTGCTCTTGCATAGGACCCTCATGAGGCCCATAACTATCACTAACTCCTTCCAGGAGATCTGATGACCTCTTCTGACCCCTGTGGGTACCACTTTGAACACATATAGAAAAACCAGAGGATTCTTTATAAATGGATGTTTCCTGTCCCAGAGCCACGCAGGCCCAAATACTTGGCAGCTGCTTCCAAAATTACCACACAGAGCATTATATTACTTATAAATGCTCAGCCGATATCTCAGGTTTATTACTAGATAACTCTTACACTTAAATTAACCCATAATTCTTATCAATGTTCAGCCACATGGCTCGGTACCTTTTCTCAGTACAGCATTCTCATCTTGCTTTTCTGCATGTGCTGGTGACTCTCTGACTGCCCTTCCTCTTCCCAGAATTCTTATAATCTGACTCTTGCACTCAATTTCTTCCTGCCCAATAAGCTTTTTTTTTTAACAATTAGTATAATTCACAGCAGTTCTTGTTAATTACTTCACTTAAAACAGTTAAGTCCCAATCTCAATAGTAACCCCCCCCCCCCATTTTGATCACTACTGGACCCAGGGTCTTGGATGTGCTAAGCAAGTGCAGTATTTCTAACTACAGTTATATTTATTTATATCTAAATGAATGGATGAAGGGAGAATATAGGAGGGAGGGAAGGAAAGAGCAAGAAAGGAAGGAAGGAGGAGGGAAGGAAGGAAATATTTACTGCAAGCCAGGAATGTCAACCCAACACACTTATAATCCCAGTACTCAGGAGTCGGAAACAAAATTGACAATTTGAGATCAGCCTGGGTTATGTACTAGGACCTTGACTAAAATTAAATACACACATATCCCTAAACTTCCTGAGAGTCTTGCTGTAGCCTGCCTGTAGGATGCCCTCTGCTTGCCCCATCTCCATTACCTGGAGACTCCACTTCTTGGTGAAGATCCAGGGTTACCCTAACTTTTCCACAGAACATGTTCCCTTGTATCATCTGCCAGGTCATGGCAACACTTTCTACCAGGGACCTTAAGTGTCATACTGTGCTGGCTCTGTAAGGTGGTTTTTACTATTCTTCCTGTCTCCCATTCTTAGTTACCCTTCCTCCTACCCAACTCCCATTTTCAGACGACTACACCTCTTGGTGCACACCCAGGGTTCCCTACCTCTTTCCCACTACCTAGATAAGCCTTTCCTCCTAGTCCATCTGCATCCCATTGTATCACACACCGGCCCAAATAAACATTCTCTGCAGGTATCCCACAGTTACCAACCAAAGAACAGAACACCCACCCAACAAAGAAAAGAACCATATATTTCCTCTCTCATACAATATATTCTGACCATAGCTTTCCCTCACTTTACTCCTCCAGTGCCCCCCAACCTCCCTCTCTACCAGATTCACTCCCCCACCCCAATGTTGGGTCCCAGCCCCCACAGGATCTCTGTGAGTCACTGGTCAGTCAACAGGTGCATCCTGTTTCCAGTCCAAATGCATCCTGTTCTCTAGTCCTGGCTTATTACCCTGGCCTTGCCCACTGACATCAACATCTAGCAAGAAGAAAACATGATCTCTTCCACCTGGGGTTTTTCCACTGTCCTGTAAGCCTGTATATAAGGCTGCTCCCTCCCTACAATAGAGAGAGACCTCTTAGTACTTGCAATAAACACACACACACACACACACACACACACACACACACACACACATACACACACACACTTGCAATAAAGGCATGCACATGCATTCTCTTAGCACAAACAACTGGACGTCTTGTCTTTCATTTCCTGATACCTCGGACTTGCTCATGGTGCAGGTATCACACCCACAGAAAAGAGTAAGCCTCCCATGGACATTAACTAAACATGGCACAAGAAGATACAATAAGACCAGGCACAAACCTTCACATCAAGGCTGGCCTAGACAACACAGTAGGAGGAAAAGGTTCTGAGAGCAGGCAAAAGAGTCAGAGACACCCCCACTCCCACTGTCAGGAGGCCTCCAAAACACCAAGTCAACAATCATATATGCAGAGGACCTAGCACAGACCCATGCAGGCTCCGTGATGGCTGCTTCAGTCTCTATGAGCCCCCATGAGCTCATAGAGTTGATTCAGAAGACCATGTTTTACTGGTGTCCTCAACCACTCTGGCTCCCACAATTCGTCCTCCCCCTCTCCTACCAGGTTCCTTGAACTCTAAGGGGAGGGACCTGAAGGAGACTGCCAACCTGGGCTCTTTCTCCACCTAACCATCTTTAATGATGATTAGAGTAGGCACTGATTATGGCAGAATATTATTAATTCATTATTATTATTAATTCATTGCTGAGTGGTGGTGGTACATGCCTTTAATCGCAGGCAGGGGCAGTTAGATCTCAGTGAGTTCAAGGCCAGCCTAGTCTACAAACTGAAAACTGTTACACAAAGAAACTCTGCCTTGAAACCTCCCCCAACAAAACATCATTCATTGAATGTTTTAAAAAATTATATTATTGTTATTTTTATTATTAATTTTCCAATCACTATATTTTCACATTATTTATTATTATTAATTTGCCAATCACTATATTTTTACATTATTTATTATTGTTATTATTAATTTGCCAATCACTATATTTTCACATTGCCTCCCAGATGTCCTCCAATTCCAGGTGTCTCACCTGTACTCTTTCCCTCCATCCTTCCCATCTAATCCCTACTATTCCATCTCCAGCTGCCCCCAGTGCACCAGCAAAATCTATTCTATTTCCCTTCCATAGGGAGATCCATGCATCCCTCCTAGAGCACTCTTTGTTACTTAGCATTTCTGGGTCTGTGGACTCTAGCATGATTGCAATTTACTTAACAGCTAATATCCACATATAAGTGAGTACATACCATGTTTGTCTTTCTGAGTCTGGTTCACCTCAGGATGAATTTTTTCTAGTTCTATCCACCTTCCTGCAATTTTTTAAAATTGCTGAATAGTACTCTGTAGGGAGAGATCACATACCCGCAGCACTGACCATGCCCCCTTGGGTGTGGTCATAAGTACGTGGGCGAATCAGGGATAAAAGAAGGTACAGGGTGGGCTCTTGCTCTCTCTTTGATCCCGGCCGAGGTTCGGAGAACATAGAGCGCTGACCCAGTTCTCAGCTTTTCATGTAAGTTACCTCTCTCTATCTTAATAAATATCCAACTACCTTTTCCCGGCATCCTTAGTGTGACTCCTTTCCATTCACAGTACTCCATTGCATACATGTACCAAGTTTTCTTTATCCATTCTTTGGTTGAAGGACATCTAAGTTGTTCCCAGTTTCTGACTATTATGAATGAAGCCTCTAGAAACAGCTGAGTAAGTGTCCTTGGGATAGGATGGAGTATCCTTTGGGTATATCCCAAGAGTGGTATAGCTGGGTGGTGAGGTAGAACGATTCCCAAATTTTAAGGAACTGTTATATTGATTTCCGTAGTGTCTACAAGTTTTTACTCCCATTAGCCGTGGAGGAGTGTTCCCCTTGTCCCCCATCCTTGATAACATGTTATTGACCTTAACCTTTTTGTTGAATGTAAGATGGAATCTCAAAATAGTTTTGATTTGCATTTCCCTGGTGGCTAAGAGTGTTGAACATTTCTTTAAACTGTTTTTCAGCCATTTGAGATTCTTGTATTGCAAAATCTCTGTTTGGGTCTATACCCCATTTTTTAATTGGTTTGGTTTGTTGATGTGTAGTTACTTGAGTTCTTTATATATTTTGGATATTAGCCCTCTGTAGAATGTGGAGTTGGTGAAGATCTTTTCCCATTCTGTAGGCTGCCATTTTGTTGTCCTTTTGATAGTGTCTTTTGCCTTACAGAAGCTTTTCAGTTTCATGAGGTCTCATTTAATGTTGATCTTAGTGCCTGCAGTAGAGGTGCTCTGTTCAGAAAGTCATCTCCTGTGGCAAGGAATTCAAGGCTATTCTGCACTTCGTCTTCCATCAGAATCAGTGCATCTGGTTTTATGTTGAGGTCTTTGGTCCACTTGGACTTAAGTTTTGTGCAGTGTGATAGATTTCGATGTATTTTCATTTTTCTTTATGTAGACATCTAGTTAGACCAGCACCATTTGTTGATGATGCTTTCTTTTTTCCAGTGTGTCCTTTGGCTTCTTTATCAAAAATCAGGTGTCCATAGGTGAATGAATTTATGTCTGGGTCTTTGATTAGATTCCAATGATCAACATGTTTTTTGGTTTTTTTTTTTTTTTGGTTTTTTTTTTTTTTTTTGGTTTTTACAAGACAGGGTTTCTCTGTATTGTTTTGGAGGCTGTCGGTCCAGCCTGGCCTCGAACTCACAGAGATCCGCCTGCCTCTGCCTCCCGAGTGCTGGGATTAAAGGCGTGCGCCACCATCGCCCGGCAACATGTCTTTTTTTTTTAATGCAGCACCATGCGGTTTTTATTACTATAGCTTTGTAATACAGCTTGAAATTAGGGATGGTGATACCTGAACTGTTACTGTTCAGGATTGTTTAAGCTGTCCCTTGTTTTTTGTTTTTCCGTATGAAGTATTATCCCTTCAAGGTCTGTGAAGAATTGTGTTGGAATTTTGATGGGGCTTGCATTGAATTTGTAGATTGCCTTTGGCAGGGTGGTCATTTTCACTATGTTAATCTCACTGATTCATGAGCATGGCAGATCCATCTTCTGATACTGTCTTCAATTTCTTTCTTCAAAGACTTGAAATTTTTGTCATACAAGTCTTCCACTTTCTTGATTAAAGGTGCACATATGTATTTATGTATGTATGTATGTGTGTGTGTGTGTGTGTGTGTATGTATGTATGTATGTATGTATGTATGTATGTATTTGGTTTTTCAAGACAGGGTTTCTCTGTGGCTTTGGAGGTTGTCTTGGAACTCATACTGTAGACCAGGCTGGTCTCGAACTCACAGAGATCTGCCTGCCTCTGCCTCCCGAGTGCTGG